ACCCTGTTCTTCTGCTTGTGTTACTTTACGACGGCTCAGTTCTGGACTTCCTGAAGGCCACTCGAAAGTACCCAGGTCTTTATCAGCTGTATCATCTGTCTTCGTGTGTAGTTCTGGACTGCCACTTCCCCACTCAAAGGTACCCAAGGAATTGCTCTCGTCGTTCTTTGATGTGTCTTGAGCGTCATTCTCAGTATTGTTTGTGTAAGGTGAATGTCCGTAGATGTTTGCACGAGAGGCACATGGACTCCCGCTTGGCCATTCAAATGTCCCCAGTTCAGACACGGACTTGTTGGACACAGCAGCATCGCCGGTCTTATTATAAGGAAATTCTGAATTTGTTCCTGAGTTTGTTCTTGATACATGTTCCTTACCATCTGGACTTGTCCTGTCTCCCAGTTCCTCTAGTTTTGACGTTTCATTTTTCTCAGTGAGCTTGTTCAGGCCCGACTTGGATTTCTTAACTGATCGAGATTTAGCAAGGGAGAAGAACTGACCTTCTTCGCCGGCAGATTCACTGGACTCTGAGGTTTCCGATGTCTCACTCTCACTGGAACTCTCACTCTTGGCTTCTTTGGTTCGTTTAAGCTTTTCGCCAGATTTGCCACGCAAAAGATTGTTATTGCTTTTGCTCCTGCTTCCTGCAATTTTGCTAGATGAGTCGTTCCTCTCTCCTATGTCAATGTCTGGGCCAATGGACAGTTTTTTGTCGCCAAGAATGCTGGATCGTGAATTACTTCGGGATTTTTCTACGTCGCCGATGCTGCCGCGAGAATTATTACCCGAGCGAGATCTAGCCAGATTGGACGATGAGTTATTTGAACTTTGGCGCGATCTCCTCCCAACAAAATTCGATGTCGAGTTGTTGCGAGATCGCTGACCTTCCAGTATATCGTCTGAGGAACCCTTTTTCGCCATCCGTGGGGATGTTCGTGGAGATAGACGACTTTGATTTTCTCCTGACATATCTTCTCGGGAGCTCCTCCGCCTTCTGCGTAGAGTGATGGTGACCACAGGCGTTTCATCCTCACTCTCCGACGAGGACGACTCAGAGGATGTTTTGCTTGTCTGAGACGACTGTCGGAAGCGTCGCATTGAACCACTGCGGCGCATGGCATCTCCTTTACCTTTGGAATGTTTTCTTTCTACAACCCTGGACTTAGACGATGTTTTCTCCACTGAAGGAGGCACTGGAGGTTTGTCTTCTCGTTTTTCTTCGTCACTACTGCTAGATTCCTCCTCCTCTTCTGGAACTTTCGACTGTGATCCTAGTTTCGTTAGGTCAGATCCAGAGCCTTTGGATCGCTGCCGACTTATCTCTTCGAGCTTGGCTCCTGACCTTGTCCTCACAGTTCCAGTGGGAGGTCTTCTGCTTCCTTTGTCATCGTCATTTCCCCGCTGTCTCCTTAGTCTTCTTAGTTCTTCTCTCTTCTCTTCTTGCTGCTTCCTCATAGCTTCTGTATCACTAGCTTTGATATCCATATTAAGGACTGACTTTCGGCATTCCTTATTTCCAATGTCAGACGTTCCTTTTCTCTCGACTGTTGGGGAAGTGGATGCTTTCCCATGGCCGAGGACGGGAGAACGAGGTGGAAGAGGCGACGTGGACTTTGGACTCGAGTCACCAACGGACAGGTTGCTTCTCGTGCGTGCCGTTGGCGTCGGTGAGGCTGATTCGTCCTTGTCTTTCAACCATTTGGACGGTGACGTGGAAGTCGGAAGGCTGTCTGTGGCGGCGGTTGAGTATCTGGACGATCGTTTGAAGGTAGGAGGAGCAGCCAAGCCTTGTGTTGGAGAAGTAGAAGGCTTCGTTGGCAGTGCTGGAACAGCTGCCAGGTGGCGGAAAGCTCGAGTAGGCGTGCTTGTGGTATTTGGTGTAGGCTCTGTTGCCTTATTTTCATCTTTCTTCTTATTTGCTTCATCGTCAGAACTTTCAGCAGCAGAACTAAAGTCGGCTGGAGCTTTGTTCTTTAGTACAATTTCCCCTGGAGTAAAGCTCGGCAAGACTCTCACTGCGTTCGGAGACAAAAGCTCTAGATTTTTCCCTTCCCTCTGGTCATCCATTGCAGCTTTAGTCAATTTATCTATAGCCTCTCTGAAAGCAGGTACGGCGACTTCAGTGCCATTTTGTTGAGCTGATTTCGCCTGATCCGTCTGGTCAACAGAGTTTGTCATGTCACGAGTTCTCGTCCTCGTGTAAGTGTTCGAGTTCGTTTCGGCGTCACTTCCGTACACACGGGACCTCCAGCCTGACCCACTGCCTGTATCGCTGCCAAGATAGCTGTTCTCCCTACTGTAAGTGGGCTTATATGAGTTGCTGGGCTCCGAGTCTTTCATGTAACTGTTACTTCGCGAGTAACTGTAGCGAGAACTGTAGTTGGAGCCAGAACCATAGCCTGAACCATAGCCAGATTTATTGTAGTCGGAGCCATAGCCCGACTTCGCGTCAGAAGTGTACCCTGATCGTTCGAAATTTGTACCGCTGTTGAGTCGTGAGGTGTAGGAGCCTCCCGGAGACCTCCCGCCCTCGGAGCGAGAGGTCTCTCTGGAGAATCTGGAGGAGGAAGCGGGCGAGGGAGCAGAGAGCGTGGTGGAGGTGGGCGCGGTGGAGGTGGTGGAGAGGGAGGAGGGGCGGACTCTGTAAGTGGGCGACGCAGGTTTCGTGTCTCCGAACTTTGAAGCGATGGATGAAACCCCGGAAGGCTTCTCGTTGCTGTTGGAGCCGAAGCGGGAGCTGTAGGTACTGCCGCCTGCAATGGAGACTGGGTTAAAGTAACCGTAAGGATGTTATTTTAAAAAGTCAGTATGAATATTCGTCATCATCAATGCCACATTTACCCCGCTTTACCACAAGTATGTATTATCTTTGCTATAAGTATGCAGTATCTTTCACTTCTCGTTATCATCTAAAGAAAAAAAGGTATAATTAACCCAGTTAAGTCAGTGACCAAACAAATGACATTCACTGAAAGTAAGAAAAGATATTGTGAAAAAAAACACTTTGAAACATACTGACGTACAGACTAGATTCTAGACTAGGTTATGTCCTCTTGGTGGCACACATATAAAAGAAACCGAAATAAAACGAAGGTCTTTTCCCCAAAGTAATAACTCAGCAGAAAACATAAAAGAAAATAGAAAGAACGTGAGACGCTTTTGCTCACACTAAAGTGTCAAGCGCAACACTGAAACTGAGAAGAAAGAAAAGAGGCGCGATATGGAGCAAGCTGGAGTACCTGGTGAGAGAAGGGAGGTGGTGGAGGCGCCCACAAACCTGAGCGAGGTCGGGCGAGGGCGTGGGAGGAAGCCTAGCGGACCACAGTGACCATCAGTAATGTTTTGGCATGGATTGCTTTAGAATGGCGTCGATATACTTTAATTGAGGGTTTAGAACTATTCCCTTTTGCGTCCATTCCAGACGAGGTCCTCTACGTTTCTTAAACCTTTTTTCCATTTATTTCTTAAACTAATTATTTTCTTTCATTTCTTATAATGACTAAGGTTTTGTATTTCACTGTTCAGTACACAAAATGGGAATACTTAAGTATAGTAACTAAAGAATGAAATATTTCGACATTTGTATTCCATCTAATTTACACTTCATTCTTTATTCTGATACATTGATTACGTAATCCAATAATAAGGAAGGGAAATAGGGTAATAGTCCTAGAAGCGACTGAATATATCATATTTACAGATTTGTTATGAAGGTCATCTTTTGATACAAACAATTTTGCAATTCAACATATAAGCTTAAGAGCTCTGCCAATAAAAACATCTGTGCTTTAGCGTTCATATTCATATAGGAAAATATGTGAATACTAAGAATATAGGCCTAATTATAGCATAATCCTACTGATTTTTCATTTATATTTTATGTTTATGATTACGAAGGTAAATGCTAGCCTTCGTTCTCACATGATTTTTTTCAATCTTTAAGGTGCCAAGTAGAGAGAATTCATTGAGGAAAAAGAAACGGTTTATTAAGTGAGTGCTACATTATTACAAGAAGTGACTAAAATGTCATGAAAGTGACAAATATATCAGGAGAGAGTAAGTAACATAATAATATTCACCTGATACCGATCATGAGGTAAACATCCCACCCTAGCCTTATTGCCAAGCGAGACTCACAGAGCGAGGGGCCGCGGCGTACTCACCTGAGCCAGAGCCGTAGTTCGTCCTGCTCTCATTTGCGGCGCGCTCCTGGGAGGCCGAGCGCTCCCTGCTGAGGGCGGCGCGGTAGGAGACGGTGGGCACATTGCTGCTGGCGGCGTTCGATTCGTACCTGGACCCGAAGCTGGAGGAGGGCGTGCTCAGCTGCAACGAGGAAGCCGAGTTAATGGTGGGTATACGGTGCACTCTCAATGGGCGAATGACTTACAGTTCTGACTTTACTCTGCGTTTCAACTTCCTTACTACAAACACTCTTTGATGTGGAACACCTGGTGCTCTCAACTGACACTGGAAGTAACAATCTTACACTAAACAATATCTCACTATCTGCGCGAAACACTCACTCTTTCGCATATGACTGGTGCAACCATCTTGCTTGCTGTGAGCGCCACACACTAATGTCAAAAGAGCAGGGAGATGAGAGAGAGAAGGTCGTGGGAGTCATAGCCCTACACCAGGCAGGTTATAAGTGTGACTAGCATCCCGAACTCTCGATGATGTTAACACGCCTACAAACTTGGCACGGGCGCTACCACTGTACCATACCCACAATGTGACGAACCCTTGTCGAAATGAATATTTGTGACACATGACGCACGGCCAGACTGAATCATAGAGAGAGATCACTGAGTAGCTTGACGCATGACAAAAATGTCGGACACATGTAAAAACGCGAAGCGTGTTCTTATCTGACAGGGAATGTGAAACAAATGGTAACAGCTTATAGGGAATAAAGCTTTCAATCCGGTCTGTTTAGAGAAGTTAACACTGTCGTCCCTTTGGTTAAACCTTGCATATTCGTGGGACGCAATTTTATGTTAGGC